CTGTACTCACCAGAGCTGACCTTTTCAGTCTGCAAGCATAAGCCTCTCATGTCTGCATTGATATTTGATGCAGTTTTATTATTATTTCCACTCTTGTGCTTTGAAATGACTGGTTCAGCATGCTATACTGATGGCTAAATAATCTCTACCAAAATTTTGTCTTAACTGGAGTGTATCAGTTTCTCTGTTTTGTATTTTAGTCACTTTATTTCAAAGAAAAAAATGCACTTACTCCAACACTGGGTTGAAAGGATCAGCTTCAAAAGTGAGAAGCTTGGATGCCATTGTGGTTCTTTCTGCCATTTTTGCTACCTATTTATTTTAAAGCTCAGTTCCAAACATGGTCTACTGTATGCTGTAGTTTACACATTGCAGTTATGATGGACTTTGTCAATTCTGTCATAATGTAAGAGAAATGTATTTTGCATGTGCAGGTGAGTAGGTCTTTCTCTGAATTTTCCTGTCTGAGTGGGTTCACTTGGGGGCTAGTAGTAGGCAGGTTAATTCTGTACCCTGTGATTAAAGCAAGCATCTGGGATACAGTAGACAAAATGCCATTTGAGCTGAGAAGACCAGATACTTGAGTGCTCCCATTATATCAGGTGATGGAGTGCCTCCATTATCTTGTCCTGCTGGGACAGAAATGATGCCTGAGTGGGTACTTGCATCTCTTATTTCAACAAATTATAGAAAAATCTGTTACGGATGAGATCTGTATGTTTCAATAAAAGGTTTCTTTACTTTTATATTAAAATTGATTTTCAGTGAAGATCCTTCACTAGCTCCAGCTGATGCTTTGATGTGTTGTGTTAACCTTACCCCTCTCCCCTTGCAGCCTTGCCCCAGGATAGTAAAGGAAATAGTGTGTAAACTCCACTGAAATCCATCATGATCTACTTGTACTTTATAGTTTCTGTATTAATTTATTTTGAAGAACAGTGGGTCATAGATTTTTCTTCTTAAAAGGTAACCCTCTAACTCGTAAGAGGATATTGAAGAATATACTGCCATTATTCCTGTGTTATTTGAACTGGCATGAGGGAATGCATGAAGTGTGACCAAGCAATATTATTTTAAGCTAAAGAATGTCATGGTTTCCACAGAGACAGCTAGGTCTAGTATAGCTATCAAGTTAAATACTTATGGGACTTTGCTTTTTCTTCTTCTAAATAAAATTTGATAACACTTCCTATTGGTTTTCTTTCACCCATCACTTCAAACTTCTCTGAAATTTGGTAACTTATTCTTTAGCAGTGCAAAGCATCCTTAGCCATTCCTGTTTGAGAAAGTAGATGTGCTGTGGTATGGTATACCCCTTTGGTTAGTTTGGGTCAGGTGTTTAGCAACAACTAAAAACACTGATGTGTTATCAGCATTGTTCTCAGACTGAAGCCAAAACACAGCACTGCACCAGCTACTGAGAAGAAAATCAACTCTATCCGAGCCAAAACCAGGATGGAGGGTGTCATGTGGGATTGCCCTACTTCCACAAGTGGTGTGGCTTTGAATGAATGACACAGGTTCTTTAGCCAGCTAGTAATGAAGCCAGATCTTTTTTCAGTCATGCTGACAATTTATATAACTTCATGTTCAATGCCCATTTTTTTTCCTGATAGGAATTAAATTTATTATAGGTGCCAGGGATTGTAAGGGTAGAACAAAGCCTTTTTGTGCACCTAAAGCTAAATTCAGTGGGTTTGAGTATAGCCAAATGTAAATTTTAAGTGTTCACTTGAGGGAGTGCAGTTACGTTACCTGGATTTGCTGTAAAGTATCTGGTGACAGCACATGTCTAGAAGTCTGATTCCTAAGAACTAAAGTTTGTTTTATTTTACTAGGTGACTCTTGAACATGAGTCCAGAATCAAGGATCTCTTCTCATGAGAATGCTTGCATGGTTGGGCTACAGATTCATGTTTCTTGCTTACATCCTTTCTGAACTACATCTCAGTCCCTCTACCAGCTAGTTTCTTGGCCAAGAAGGTGCTATTATTATTACTCTGGATATGTCTTAAAATCACAGAAAGCTCTGGAAATTTTCAGAAGGCTGCTTTAGAAAATGACATTGAATCCAGTAATCACAAGCTGATACAGTTAAAATCAAATGGAAAAACAAACAAAATAGGCATGTACACAAGGGCTTTGGATTTCAAGGGGGCAGATGCTGATTAAACTAAGCGTACTGGGTTAGTGTAAGGAGCTTATCTGAAGAATTTGCATCTTCGTGTTTCTTCACGTTGATGACATTAAAAGTATAAAATGCATGATAGATGAGTGAAAGGTTGGAGAGAGAGACTGACAAATTAATAAACACCTCAAGAAGGATATTGAGAAGGAGCAGAATAATAGTGGAATAAAATTCACAAGTTAGATTATGATAGATTCACTGCCCAATTTTCTTTGGAAGGAAAGTGTTTTTCAAATGAGGGAAATGCAGAAGAGGCGTAATTGGTCTGGACTTCAGTAAGTAGTTGATGTTGAGTAGGACAGCACTGGTTTTGGAAGGCAGGGTTTGATGGTGTGTGACTTGGGTGGGGAGGATGGTGAGATAACAGCATTTAATGTGGAAGTGTCAGGATGGCAGTCATGCTTAGTATAATTTTTTTTAGATTAATTTTGGGGACTGTCTTTCTGATGTTTCTGATATGACACAAGGAAAATCAGTATGTTGATGAAATCTGACAATGAAAATTTGGAGCACAAGTAGTACAGAAGATTATGGTGTTGTATGGAAAAGACTGGATTGTCTCAAAGACTGAATTAATAGCAAAATTCATGGCATTATTATAAAAATATCCTGTACAACATGGTTAAAAGCAGTATTTTGTAATGCAAGCTTGAAGGAAGTGACTGGACTAAAGAAGAGCATTGCAAGATTACTGCATTACGAGTGTGATACAGTTGTGTTATTTGTATGGAAAATGGAGAGGCATTTGCAGTCAATTTAAGGAGGCTCTAGTGTAATTTTATAAATCCCTGAATTGTTATTGTAATTCTACTCATGCATACTTACGAAGAATGAATCAAAACTAATGTGCATTGGCTTTAAAGTGAATTGTAGGATCATTCACTTTGGAAAGGACCTTGAGAAATTTTCTAGTCCAGTGACCTGCTGGAAGCAGGGTCACCACTGAAGTAGGGCTATGGAGGTGCTGTGAGGGCTGGAGCACCTCTCTCATGAAGACCGTCTGGAGTTTGGCTTGTTCGGCCTGGGGAAGAGAAGGCTCAGGGGAGATCTTAAAACAGCTTTCCGATACCTAAAGAGGACCTACAAGAAATCTGGAGAGGGACTTTTTACAAGGGCATGGAATGACAGGACAAGGAGGAATGGCTTTAAACTGACAGAGGATATATTTAGATTGGCTATGAGGGTAGTGAGACACTGGCACAGGTTTCCCAGACAAGTTGTGGCTGCCCAGTCCCTGGCAGTGGTCAAGGCCAGGTTGGATGGGGCTTGGAGCAACCTGGCCTGGTGTGACATGTCCCTGCCCATGGCAGGGGGTTGGATCGAGATGATCTTTGAGGTTCCTTTCAACCCAACAATTCTATGAACTCAAACTTTCAGTTGGGTCTCAAAAACACCCAAGGACTGAGCTTCCAAAGCATCTCTGGGTGACCTCTTCCACTGCTTTGATGTCACTGGAGGTAAAAATTTTCTTCGTTACCACAGTTCAAAGTATCTTGTTTCTATTTATGACTTGTGTCTCTTGTTATTCTGTCTTGAATCTCAGTAAAGAGGTCATTATCTTGCTATTTCAGGCAAAGGAAGGCTGCTAACAGATGCCCACCAGGCTTCTAGGCTATACAAGTCCAGTTTCCTTAACCTCTGTTGATGTGCTTCAGAGCTTTGAAGACAGTGATTACACCAAAGGGCAGCCTGTTAATGAGGAAAACCTTTGCTTGTGTATTTTAGCAAAGTGTGTCCTTGTCTGGAGATCTCGAAGAAACCCATCGAAACCCCAAGGGGGGAAAAAAGCCTATTACAACTAGAGCCCAAGTAGGTCTGGCATCAGGGAAGGTAACCTGTCCAGTAATGAACTTATGCTGGGAAACAGAAGAAAGCTCCACTCAATGGGACAGTCTTCCAGGGGGTGTCAGAAGCAAAGTTCTTATATTCTGGTGGATATATTTCCAGAATGGATTACGTGGGTTTATGTATCTACTTTAGGAGTGAACTGGACTCTAGAACCTGCAGGTCCCTGCTGTATTGCCTGTGTAATGTTTCACTTACATTATTCAGACTTGGTTCAACCACCTATGAGAATTTGGGTGGAATTGAGTTGGTTAAACGTACTGCATGGTGCTGTGAGGTTCTCTTTGGCCTGGAATAGTTAGAAAGCTCTGATGCATCTTTGGAGAACAAACTTAATTCTCACACTTAAGAACTTGAACTAAATGTACTGCATCTTGAGAAGTGAAACTTTAGTCTGTGTTTCTGAATGCTCTTATCACTTTCCCTTCTGGTCCATTGTTAGTTTTTAATTCAGTTTCACATCTGTTAAGAAAAGGGGTGAGGGTGGAAATAGGCTTGTATACGTGTTTTAATCTTAAACAGCTGAAGAAAAGCAGTTAGTTTAAACTTGGCGTAGAATAACATGATGTGACACTTCCGTCCTCTGCATTTTAATTGTAAGGTGGAAGCTGCTGCTGGAGTATGAAATTGATAACAAAGTAACTTGTTTAGCTGAATAGGTGGGAAGTCACCTAAACATCAAGAAACATCATGTAGGTTGTAAATGTCTCCTTTCTTGCATTTTTAAGTGACTTCTCACTTATTTAACTTTAGCTGTGAAATTAGAAGCACTGTGGCACCAAGACAGTTTGTAGTTACACCTTAAAGAATGAACAAACTCCGTTGCAGATACCTATAGCAAAACACACTTTATTCTACATCTGCATATACATCATCCAGATTTCTGTTCCAAAAGTTGTGGTCACAGTTGTTACAGCAGTCTTTGCATAGATATATATTTTTAATTTATGTAGGGTTTTTCTTTTACACTGTATGTAGGGGTTTTGTTTTACACTGTTTAATTACACTGACATTCTTTATTGTGTATGCAGTGCACTGATGGGGAAGTTAGTGGAGCTGTAATGATGAGATTGGTGTTGGTTTGGGGGGCAAGGGTGAGGTTTGCGTGCTTGAGAGCACAAACAGAGCGTGCTATTATGCAACTGTGTAGAGGGGATGTGGTCCACACATTGTGTTCAGTCCTACTGCTGATGCTGGAGCTGTTCATCGCTGCTTTCATCAGTAACCTTGCAGTTGCTGTGATAATGCATAAACGTGAGGATGTATTTATTCCTTATCAGTTTGCTGTAGCAAAAGACTGGAATTCGCTTTGGTAGTCTGGAAAAAATATCAGGATGGTCGTTGTTATGACGCCTGTGGAAGAACAAAGTTGTCAGGGCCATGGGAATCACAACAGTGTCACAGCACCAAGGCTCTTCTGACAAGCATGGATGGAGGGGCTTCAGGCATGCATGGGAAACAGATATGACTGCCTTGCTAACTTTTAACACAAGAAATAGGATACAGGGTAGCTAAGACTACTAGGAATCCTTTCGTAACTTGAAAAAAATTGCTGCTTTTGTGTCAAAACTTCCCTATCTAAACAAGTTTTGTTTTTTTTTTCCTGCACTTTTCTTTGAGTAAATGTGTATGCACATATGCTCTTCCCCCCCTGCCCCCTTTCCTTTTAGATATGATCTTTCATTGTAGGCATTTTGCCAGAAAGGTTTGTTTCAGATCCCCTGTAGTCTGTTTGAAGTGGTGTTCTCAGGCTTGCAGAAGTAAGTAGTACAGCAGTTGCAAGCCATTAAATTTCCCAGTGCTCTTGAGGGAATGAGATTAGACCCTAAATTTAAAGGCAAGTTTTAAGATTCTTTGCTTCAAACCCTTTGAGGTAGTGCAATGTGCAACTCAAAAGACTTAAGATTCATTCAAGCCAAAGTTAAAAAATATAAGGATATATATATCTTTTATATATGTATGCACATATATATATGTGCATATATATAGACAAACATGCAAACGAAATGTCAGTGGCATGCTGTACTATAAATAAGAAAATACTTTAACCTTTCATTAGAGCAGCTGTTTCCTTGCACTTGAAGCAACATCTGCTTGACTGATTTAAGGATTTATTTTGAGCTTCTGCTTGTATTTGGTGATTCAGTTTATTATTTTTAAAATTAAAATATTCCTCCTGCGTTTTACACATACTTTGTCATATACCCATAAAATTATCCGTTTATCTTAATGTGCCTTTTATATATCATAGTAGGACTATAAGAAATGCTCCTCAGCAACAAAAAAATGTAGAACTATGAAGTTATCTGTCTTGGGGAGTTGGAGAGGGGGAAGAAGGAACTGACACTTTTTATCTTTTCCTGTTGCTTATACTGTCCATTAGCTGCAGAAGTACAACTTAATCAAATTTTACAGGAAGCTGAGTTAGTTTTGATTATTTCTCTGTGATATTCTTCTTTCTGTATTCACTGGTAATCCCAAAACTCAGTAGTGAGGTGTCCTGGGTTCCGCAGTAGCAGTCATGTTTTTCCTTTGTGTTAACTGGTACAGTGCTGTGTTTTGACTTCCAGTTTAAGAACAGTGTTGGTGAAGCCGATGTTCTCGGTTGTTGCTAAGTGATGTTTACCCTGACCAAGGACTCTGTGAGGCTCATGCTCTGCCAGGGAGGAGGGGAGGCTGTGAGGAAGCAGAGACGGGGCGCCTGACCCGGGCTAGCCGGGGAGGTATTCCATACCACAGCACGTCATGCCCGGGGTGAGGGGTAACTGGGAGTGACCCGGAAGGACAGGGTTTTCCGGGTGGAGCTCGTTTCTCTTGGCCGGTGGTATCGTATTCTCTTCCCTTGTTATTTTCCCTTATCATTGTTGTAGCTGATAGTAGCGGTGGTGATTTGTTGCTGGACTGTTTTTGTCTCAACCCGTAGGAGTTGCACTCTCTCGATCCTCCTCCCCGTTCCTCCGGGAGCGGGGAAGGGGAGAGCCCCGGTGCGGGGAGGCAGGGGGGGAAGACGGACACGGACCTCGATTGTTGTCAGCTCGGCACCACTCACTGGGAGTGAGTGAACAAGCTACCTGACTGGGTTTAAACCACGACATGAGGATAAAAAGAAATGTGTCCCCTTAATATTATGCTATCTGAAAAATGACTTCAGTTCGATATTAATGCTGTGCCGTAACCATATTTTAAGTGCTGAGCAGGACTAATCTTCTGGGTTTTTTTTAATCATCTCCTTATAGGATCCAGATCAGACAGTACTAGGGAGCTGATGGTTTGGTGTTCTGTCTGCTGCCTAGGAAAGTGTTATGATCTTCAAAAGAGATAATCCCAACCACGGATAAGCTACACACAGATGACGGATAAGAAATCCTTAGGTAGCCTGCACAAAATCAGAGTTGGGGTAACTACTTGGCCAGAGGGAGCAAGGTGAGGGGGCCAGTTAGAGTAGAGGAAGTGGATGCAGGGGGATTGGAGTGAGAGGCAGATTGGCTACTTGTGATGAAGCTTCTCACTGCTACTGCCTACAGCAGGCACTGCTGCTGGGTATTTGGGGTTGTTTGGTTTGTTTGTTTCTTAAACAGGCAGCCCATTCCCAAGTACAATAACAGTTTGTGGTGCTTTCTGAACCTCTTGAATTTTTGGCACTCTGCTGGTTTTGTAATGAGATGCGTTAATGCTTAAAGGATAATTAAAGATAATGAGGTATAGAGAAAGTGGAACGCAGTGCAGCCTCTGAAAGGCAGAGCTTGGCAAGCTGACTTTTGACGAAAAAACCCTTATTTTCTACATAGACATTTTTGTCGTTTCATCTGAATATGTACACAGTAAGTGATGTGGTGCTCTATTGCAAACTGCTGGCTAAATAGGAGAAATTGCGATCTAGTAGAGAAATTGTTTGGAAGGGCCTAAGATAAAGGACCTAGCTGAGGGGAGGGAAACAAGCTCAGAGCTTCTTAGTGGAATCATTATAGATCAGTTGTCAGATCAGTCTTGCATTATCTGATTCATCTAATGACAAAGGTATATGTAAAGGGATCTTGCTGCTAGAATTTGATGACATGAAGATGAAAAAGTACTCTTAACATGAAAAAGTGTTACATTGAAATTCTGGGGGATTTCATAGGGCATGTGCCCAGACATGGAGTGATCTGAAACATCTTTGTGGTACAGAATACTTCTTTCCACCTCACCTCTTTTCCTTGGAAGGGATGGAATAATAGGAGTGGTATGAAATTTGGAGCCTTGTGCTTCAGGGCATTACAGCCAAAATGTTGGTTAGAAGAATGCAGGCTGAATTATTGAAAGGATCAAAGTAGAGAAGGGTACGAAGTAACTGAGCAAAAAGCATGGGGCATTTATGAAGGCATATGTGCTCTGGGGACATAGACACAGAAGGTATTTCCAGTAGACAGAGGAAATTACTGGTGGCGTTATACAACCATCTGGTAACACATACAATTGCAAAATCAACTAAACTGTGTCAGAAATAGTAATCTGGTTTGAGGAGAAAAGAGAAGAAATTGAAGTGTGCAGAGACAGGCTCCTGGGATGAATGGGGAAATGGGTATCACAGCAGAGAAAGATTAAAGCGCTTGTCTGGGGCAGTCCAGCTACAGAAACTATATATGTAAGTGCTGTCCATACATGTACAAGTGGAGACAGCTAAAAGGGGGGAAACTACTTAAACTGAAAGACAGTATAAGCAAAACAATAGGTAGACATGGTCTGGCCATTGCTGAACTTAGGCATAACATTTGGAAGTTGTAATTCAATTACAGTAGCCAGGTTTTTGGAGTAAACAGGAATAGTGGAACTTGGTTTGCTTTTCCTGCTAAATCTTGTTGAGATTTGAAAATAATTCTTCAATCATTCTGGAAATATCAGAGAACACAGAACTTTAATGCTTGTAGCCAAGTGTGTTCTGAATTTTATGAACAGTTGTCTAAACAGCATTCCTGCAGCTTCTCCCCTTTAAGTTGTTTTATGATTTCATGGTATGCAGTGATTTGGACTTGATCTTAAAGGTATTTTCCAACCTAGCTGATTCTATGATTCTGTGCAATACAATATTGTGGTGCTGTGGTGCTTTCTCAGAGACAGCTACCTCTTGGCTTTTGAAGGGCATTGATGGGGAACAGCGAGGGCAACCTGGCCCTTTTACATTAACTGTTTGAATCCTTGCTACGCTTTGAAATAGAGACTGAATTGCTTTTTGGAGGGGTCATTTTATTCATTGACCTTAAAGTGTGCAGGATAGTAGAAGTCTTGAAAATTTGGGCATCAATGTAAATCTTTTCGTATTTGATCTAGAAAAAAAACCCAACAGTTTACTGAATTCCAACAAGGAAAGCTTTGTTGCAACTTCAAATGAGAGCCACAGTTTGTGAGTGTGATTTGGAAGAAAGTATCCAAGCAGTTAGGCTACTGCAGTCTTGCTAACAGTTAGGCTGTTGTAGGCCAAGCCATGGAAGCAGCTAGACTTCTACTTGCCATGGGCATTGGTAAGTGCTAATTACCCAAACACTTTTTGTGACCTTGCTAGCAGTTGCTTGAGGAGCCAGAGTTTAATCTCTTTTGCATTGTGAGTCACTATTGTCATAGTGAGCTCTTTGTACAGGTCATTGTAATGCTATATGGAGAAGGCATTATACTCAGTAACTTGCTAATAAAAGAGGAAAATAATAGCTGAAGATGCTTATGGTTAGATAAAGGAAATCAATGATAGAAAAGCTGTGATATGGTGTTATTACTGTATTGCATGTGGATGTCAACTAATTTGCTCGGAGTGAAAGACAGTGGTGGAACAAAGTTTCGGGTTCAGAAGACTGGTGCAGGGATTCAAGTTCTGTGGCAGCTGGGAGCAAGGAAGGATGCCGTCTTGACTCCCTGGTGTTTTGTAGGCAATTTAGTGGGTGAGATCAGGGCTGACAAGTATCATGCTGGAGGGAGGTGCTAGGCCTTTTACTGGGGCTCACAGCCCACGCGGATGCAGGTTTTGATATTTTCAGTGCTCTCTGTTTGGGTTATTTCAGGTTTATATTTTCTCCCTTCAAGAAGATACATTGTCACTGTCTTGGCTGGAATTCTTTTACACTCTGCTGAAAGCTTGTTTTAATGGCACAGCTGATTCATCACTACCTATCAGAATCTTCTGGCATTTATCATCAAAAATGCCAGCTGTTAGAATTTAATCTTTCTAGATTATGTGTAAGCAACAACATTTTATTGACCTCTTTTGACACTATTTTCAACACAAACTGTTTTCTTGAATCACTTTGGATCAATCTTACTCTAAAACCAATGGCATCTTTTTGTAACTTTAACTACTTTGTCTTCCCTGCATGCTTCCCTAATAGTGCATTTTTATTTATTCTTTTTACAGATAAATTTGCGCCTCATCTTGGTAAGTGGGAAAACAAAAGAGTTCCTATTTTCACCAAATGACTCTGCTGCAGATATTGCAAAGCATGTGTATGATAACTGGCCGATGGGTGAGTAGCTCTGTGGCTTTGGCTTTTTAATTTGTGAGCTAGAAGCTTCCCTGTGTTGTCAGATTAAAGTGCCAGTAAACTGATCTCTGTTCGCAACATTCAAATCAAGAATGTTTATTGTGTATCGGAGCACAGATTTCTATAGAAAGACAGTTGTTCTTCATTTTGTCTGATTCTTTGGTTGGGGAGATTTTTAGATGTCTGGACTATTTCCCACTTGATTTCTAAAATCTGCTTCCCCAAACTGCAGTACTTCTTTCCTTCTGTCTTCAGACACTTTTCTTGCTTAATCTTGTTAGAGGATCTAGTAAGTGTGAGCAAATCTTGGAGATATAAAACCTCTTATTTGAGGACAGCTAATGTAAAACATGGCATGTCACAGGAGCACATTAGTGAAGTTGAGGCTGAATTACTTCTTCTTTATTGCCTTATCTTGGAAAAGATCTGTAGTAACAGCATTCTTGCAGGAAAAAAAAAAAAAAAACAAAAAACCAAAAACAAATACAAAAGAACATTTTAAGAGACACTAAAAGACTGAGGGAAACTGAGGGTTGTCTGTCTGAATATATTTGGTATTAAGAAGGAATACTGGCTTCAGAAAACGGAATTGAAAACTTAAGATGTGTATTCACATATGTGAATAGTTCCACTAAAAAACAGAGTGCTTCTGTTCTCCCCGACTATGATTTCATGGGAAAATAGCCAAAACACAGACATAGCATTACATATGATGAAAGAAAATGCTTCTTTTGGTACAGGACTTCATCTGGGTTACTGTTTTATGTTAAAAAAGACTACACAAACTAAAACATTGCAATATCTGTTTCTATGGTGCCTTTGTCAAAGATGCATGGTGGATGATAATTCCTGCCAAAAAGTTAGTGCTGATTATCCATATTTTAGGCCTTAAATTGCTCTTTGAGGTCAGGAAGAACAGGGTTACAGTGGACTTATTTGCTGTTTGTTTTGATAGCATTATGTATTTAATAAAATACAGAATGGAGGGGAAAGTATTCCCTGAAGTAATCCTCTGAAGTATTAGATATACATGTAAAACACTTCTACACTAAGAAATCCAGTTGATGTATCATAAAAACATAGAATGGTTTGGGTTGGAAGGGACCTTAAAGCTTATCTAGTTCCAGCCCCCTGGTAGGGACACCTTCCACTAGACCATGTTGCTCAAAGACCCTTCCAACCTGGCCTTGAAATGCACATCCTTGAAATGAACACAGATGTAGCATCTTTGTAGCTACTGAGCGTATTTTAATGTGTGCCTACAGCATAGTTGTCATGATCAAGTGCTCTCTGTGTACTTTCATCTGAATTAGTAAAGGCAGAACTGTTGTTATTCTTACTCAAGTTTATTCCTGAACATGTGGTCTCATGTTCCTAGTCTTGTGAAGAGCTTGACGGTTGCAGATTCTGGGTTAAGAAAAAACCCAGACTTTAAAGTCTTTTTTTAAGAAAAAGAAAAGTAGAACCGGACATGGAAGCCTCAGTTCAAATAGCTGCTGCCCTGAGGGAGTTCTCTAAATCTTGGTGAATATTTAATTGCCTGTGTAAAGAAGAATAGTGTCAATTTAAAAGACTGAGGAAAAAATCTACTTCAAAATAATGACTGGGTTTTTACAAATATCAGCTCAGTAGCTGTTTTGAGGCTGAGAGTGCTCTTTGCTACAGGCCTGAGAAATCTTGGTGAGGACCAAATTTTCTTTGAAATAGAGATGATATGATTGTTTTTAGCACCATTTGACTTCTCATGATCTTGTGGGGAAAAGAGATTATGAAATATTCTCAGTTACATGCTGGCAGGATTAAGGCAAACTTCTCTTTTGGCAAGACAGTTGTGAATTAAGAATCTCTTGACTTCTAGTGGAAAATACCAGGTTTATATTAACGTGTATCATCTAAGTAGATTACCTGTTCTCTTCCTGCCCTCCCCATTTTCTTCTAAATAATATTAAAACTTTAATTGCACAGCAATTATCTGCTGAAGTTAAAAAAAAGTCCTAGGTAAATAACTTTTCCGTGATTCATTTAGTCATCAGTGGAAATGGAAACCTGAAATCATGTCAGGAAGAAGTGTTTCAAACTGCCAGCCAAGGAGCAAAAAATTAAAAGGATGGGTAAATTGGCAGTGAACCAGTGACCAAATACCTGTGCCAAAATGTAGTCTGTCTTCTGTTGGTTGCTGGTTTATGTCATTATGGCATTATAAGCTGGCTGAATTTATCTTTACAGCCATGGTGTGGCAGAGTTCAGGCTAGATAAGTAAAAATAAATAAATAAATGATTTTTTTATATCTTCCAAAAAGTCATTCACCCCAGTAGTGTGATAATTCAGCTCCTTAACATAGCCCACTTGACAGCATAGCAAAAAGGGCATGCGCTTGAATTGCAAGACAGTTGAATCAGACCCTGAGTAGAAATACTTGAAATTCAAATAGCTTTGGTTGCTTAATTTGATCTAATCTTATAAACCAGGCACATGGCAGCACTCTGGGATGCTGCAGCCACTGCTGTTGATACCAGCCTTGCTGCCACTGTGTTCTGGGGCCGCAATGGCTCCTGCTGCCCATCTGCC